AGAGCCAGACCCGCTACAGAGGGGGTTTTGAAGGGAGTGTAAAGGGGAATCGACGTCAATAGAACGTCTGATGAAAAATCTTGCAAAAGCAACAAGATATACTTTGTCCCCGTGCAGAGTCACACACTGCTGCTTATTTACTCGTTGAATTCACTCCACTAGTGATCAAGCCAAACCTGGCTCAGGCCCAGCTGGGTCATGCTGCCCCTCAGGTCAGTCAGGGGGTTTTGAAGGGAGTGTAAAGGGGAATCGACGTCAATAGAACGTCTGATGAAAAATCTTGCAAAAGCAACAAGATATACTTTGTCCCCGTGCAGAGTCACACACTGCTGCTTATTTACTCGTTGAATTCACTCCACTAGTGATCAAGCCAAACCTGGCTCAGGCCCAGCTGGGTCATGCTGCCCCTCAGGTCAGTCAGCCAGGAGGGAAATAGGGGTGCACGGGCTCTCAGGTCAGCTACCTGCGTGTCCCCGCTCCAATACGGACCAAGGCCAGGGCAGCATCACAGGGGCAGAGGAAGCTGGCAGCAAGAACTCCTGTTTCGGTTGAAAGCTGAGTAAACAAGGCTAATGCCACGTGGAGACCTACTGAGTAGCGGGAAGCAGCCGTGGTACACGGGTCATCTGGCACCGCTGCAGCCACAGGAGGTGCTAATCAGACTAACCAGAAGAGACAGAAAGTGGCTTTAATTCCCTGGCGTACGATCCAAAATAACCCAGCAGAATCACTGCGGGTAGCTGGTAATGGCAGAGCATAAGGGTTCTGCTCTTCCCTAGCACCTTCTAGGTCTTTATGGAAAGTGGGAAGAATGGATAAGCAGACGGTTATAAGCTTATATCTGACCCTGTATTATTAGAAGCTGATGAACATGAAGAGGATACAAGGGAGAGGCTCAAACAATCTGAAGTGGTAAATGCACGTTGGAGCTACTGGCTGACAGCATCAAACTTCTGCACAGCAATACAGCAGCAATTTCTTCCTCTCGGGCTTCCTTGCTGGTCTCCACAAAAAAACCCAAGAAGTCAGTGACCTTCTGCTCTCCTTACTGCATGCGCTTGAGAGAATTCCCAGCTCTTTTCAACCAGCATTGAGATGCACCCATCTCTGGAGTGAATTATTCTGGTCAGTTTAGTGGAGAGGAGGAAGGACTTGGGGAAAACCAAGAAGAAGTTGAGTGGAGTAGCACTGAGCGCATCCAGCACAGGAATTTGAGCTCCATATGAAGCCTGACCTTAAAATTCCAGCGACATGGCAATTAGGTTGGGATTAACATAACCTAGCTGTAGTCACTGGCAACAGGATTTTAATCCTTTAACTAATGGGAGAGTTTTGCTTCTTAATTGTGAAAGGAATTTCTGAGGTGCCTTAATGCAGCACTAATTAGAAACCCACAGTCTGAGAAACCACTCCAGGCTGCTTTCCTGCAGAGAGAACAGGAGACCCACACCGTGAAGCCATAGTCAGAGGGGAGCTCCCTCCGCACGCCTGCACATGGGTCCCCCACGCTGAGCAAAGAACAGGGCAAGGAAAACAAAAGGGAAGTCCAAGAGACCACCCTATCCCCCCATGCACAGGTACAAGGAGGTAGAGTGCAAGGCGAGGGGATTCGTGCAGAGGCAGCACAGGCTTCTTTTCTGCCAGGGCAAAGGAAAGCAGTGGACAAAGCCTGGGTGCTGGCCCATGAGGCTAATGCCACCCCAGAGCTGTCAGCTCAGGGGCAGGAAAAGAGGACAGGGCTGGGGGGGGGCCCCCAGCCGCTCGGCACAGACGGGCAGGCCAGCCTGACGGGTACTCTCTGTGCCAGTTTCCTCATGACCCTGCCATAGCCACCAGAGCAGATAGGGGAAAGTTTTGCATTCCTGTGACTTTCTGCACAGTCTCGTTTCTCTGCCAAGCCTGCCCCAACGTTGCTCCGTGCCAGGCCCATAAGGGAAAAGGATGGAGAAGTGCCGTGCTGCCTTCGTCCCAGGAGAGCCAGGCACTCGCCCTGATAAACCCATGCTTGGAAAGTGCAAGCTGGCCAAAGCCAAGGGGGAGAACGGCCTGTGTCTGGGACAGCAAGGATCCTGACATGATCTGAACAATAGAGAGCGACTAAAACAAAGGGATTTGTTTCCCAGAACGAAGGGGCAAACAAAGCTCAGCCTGCGACGCAAGCTGCAGGGCTCAGCCTCTGTCCCTGCCAGCCCTGGCACCAGAGCGCAGCTGGGCCAGGGGCAGCACGAAGCCTCCCAGCAGCTTTGCCTTCCCCAGCAGCGCCTGGGGAGAGGAGACCAGCACCGAGGGGAAGCAGCCACAGCCCAGCTTTTGCCAGGTAATGCTGGCATGGCCATCCCCCAGGCAGCTCAGTGCCCCGCTCCTTCTGAGAACGAAGAGCAAGGGCTGAATCCAAGAAGGATGTGGTCCCCACAGTCGGCAGGAATTGGCAGGCAGGAGCTGGGGTGCAGAGGCCAAGCCAAGGGCTAGTCCAGGGATGGGCTGTTTGCCTTCCTGCTCCGCAGGGATGGCAGGGACAACCTCAGACTCTACAGAATATGATGCTCATGTGCCACTGGTTCAGAGATGAGAGCAGCATCCCTCAGGGTGCATACAGGGAGCTACTGCATGAGGGACAAGAGGGGCTGCTGGTGACCAAGGCTGGATGAGCAGCTCAAAACATTGGCTCTGCTGCCATCTGGGAATTCACCGGAAACCTCGGGCCTCAGAAGCCAACAAGAAGCTACTGAGGAGCAAAGAGTCACAGCTGGTATAACCCCATTGCTTGAGATGGAAAGAACAAGCGAGGATGCAGGATAGCAGATACACAGAGACCCTTTCAACACTCCTGTGCTTTCTGCTGCAGCAACCAGTAAGGGGGAAGGCTGAGAGGAAGGGACCGTGCCAAGCAGCAGCTCTCTGCTAGCTGTGTTTGATGCTACCAGCCAAGCAGACTTCTCTCCATCCCTGCATCTCGGTGAGCACTTTCTGAGCAGCTCTCTGGGGCCAAGGCACATCAGCTCCTCTGCACTGTCAAGGTCAGGACCAGGCTGCTTGTTGCAAGGGCTCTCTCTTCCAGCAATTCACAGCACAGAGCCAGGAGAGTTAAAAGCTTGGCAGCAGGCAGCTAACACCTTGCAGATGTAAGATTCAAAGCTATATGTACTCCCAACATGGGAAACACAAACATCAGGCAGGCCCTTGCTGTCACGCTCAAGCAGAAGATGCTCTGCAGAAGGAAGGAGTGTTATTGTCCCTGTTAGGAGAGGATGTCAGTCTCTCTCCAGCGCCGCTCAGCTACGGAGACAGACTGCTGTGTTATAGAAACATTTAAACACAAAGCAATTCATTTACAGCTGGACTAACACAGTATTCTGAGGAGCTAACAGAGCCTGCCCCCATCTCTCACAGGGAGCTCACTGTTTCACAGGAATCGGACTGAATTCTAGCAAGAGAAATGCGCAGCCATGCCTCTCCATCAACTTCAAGAGGCTGTCAATCCACCTGCCAGCTCTCACTGCAAGGTCCCCTCCATTTTGGCCTTTGCCATACAATTCTCTCCAGGCTCTCCCATCTCCTAGCCCTCCTGAACCTGGTTCGGTTCAGCCTGCTTTGATAACGTGCCTGCACCCAGCTTCCTCATGAAGAAAACTGGATCCAAGCACTCCAGACATTAAAGTGCCCAAGCCAGCTCAGGCACCGTGCCTCCCGGCCCGCGAGCAGCAGTGACGAGGAAGCGAACTGTCAGCGAAGCTTAAGGACTATTACACCTTCAAATCTGATCCGTCCAGTGGGATGAAGACACCTTCCCAGCATGCTAAACTCCAGGCTCTGGTTTCAGTGGTCACTGACTTCACAAGCCCGTGCACAGAAAGATTATTGTCTGCCCAGCCACCACACAGGCATATGCCTTCCCTCCCCTTCCCAAAACAAGCATCCCACTCCCTGCCCCAGCTCCCTGGATACTCACAGCTGTTGACAAGCGAGACGCCAGAGTCATCTCTAGGTTCCCCTTCAGGCCCAGTAATGCAGGCACCAAGATAAATACCTCAGTCACGTATTTGAAGACATCCCAGTGCTGCAAGATTAAAACAAAACAAAAAAAACCCATTAAAAAAATAATCATGGCTGTTCGAAACCTTTGCTTTGGACTGTCACTTGCTCATCCGCCTTTGCAACCTGGCACTGCCCGCGTGTGGCCCTGAGCAAACAACCCAGTTCCCCTTCTGGTGCCACATTTTGAATTTTGCAGCGATTTTACTGGTTTTGACATGCGTGTAGTAGTGACCACATGTTCCTACTAAGCTGGAAAACCGGATCTCAGCCTGCAACTTTCAATTAAAAATCCCCCGAAGATTAACCACTGACAAAATGTTTACGCACACAGAGGCCAAAATAGGGGAAGACGAAGAGACTTTGCCCAATACTTGCAGTTTTTGGCAGAATCGAGTACTGCAGTTCAGTCAGTCCCAGATGAGAGCCATTCCCTAC